GAGAGAGAGAGAGAGAGAGAGAAAGAAAGAAAGAAAGAAAGAAAGAAAGAAAGAAAGAAAGAAAGAAAGAAAGAAAGAAAGAAAGAAAGAAACCTCTTCGCTCCACCCTGGAATTGCCAAACCACGCCCCTGTTAATCCCTAGCTCTGCCTTGGAATTGCCAAGTCACGCCCCAACCAGAAGCCCTGGGCCCGCCCCAGGCTCCGCCCCCAAGGCCCGCTCAGCCGCTGCTCGGGCTCTGCAACCTGGTGACCCACCAGCTCCCCGGACTGGGCCCCTGCATCCCAGGGGGCACGCGGGTCCAGGCCCGGCCAGCCGGTGTACTGCGACTTCATCTCGCTGAGCTGGTGCTTGGTGACCAGAGGGAGGCACCAGGGGCGTTGTTTAAGCTGCAAAAAGGCAACACGGGGGACCCCACGTGAGGGCGCCGGGGGTTTCATGTGCCATCACCCCCAGAAACATAGTTGATGGAGCTAGAAGAGGAGATGATCCCGGGCTCATGTGCAAAGGGGGTGACAGATGAGGGGCCACCAACATGCCAGGCGCCTGAGTGAGGCAGCGGGAACAGGACCTCATTATCAGTCTTTGAAGGGAGAAGAGAGCGCAATTGAAAGTTGTCCATAGGCGCTCGATTTTGCGGGAGTACGATTCGGGGATCATCCCTGAATGCTCCTTACCTTCTTTGCACAAGTCTTACGGACTTCGCCTCTGCCCTGCCTCGGTAGCCCAGAATTTTACCTTTCCCTCCAAATCCTTGAGCCCTAAAGTCCGCGTGGGGTCCGCTGGCTCTTGGGCCTTGGGCTGCGCACAGAGCCCACCGTGGCTCTTGGGCGTATAAGCGGAGCCAGAGGTGGTCTCCCACCTGCTGAGGACTTCATCAAAAGCCCAGATGTGCGGACCCTGCTTGGTGGCCGGGGGTAGGGGCTCCGCGACAGTGGACTGCAAAGTCAGCGAAAAAAAGACCTTGGAGTCCTGGGCCCCCCCTCCCCAGTGGGGCTTCAACCCGACTCTCCCTCCTACTTCAGACAAAACCTCACTCCTCGTTTCTCTCTGCACCCAGCCCCTCCTCCTTCAGATCCAGCGCCTGGCTCCCAGCCCCTCTGGTCCAGAACACAGGCCCTCTTACGGTGGGCGGGATAATGTGATGACCGACGCCGCTGCTCCTGAGATGCCAATGTGTCCGAGATCCAGGGGCCTCAGGCCAAGAGGTGGGGGACCGACGGGGGCCATAGCACAGAGCTAGGGGCCGACCCCCCATGTCCTCAACCACCTCCAGCAGGAGCAGGCTTGTTTGTTGTTGTTGTTGCCCCAGGTGACAGAACCCGCTCACCCCGCCCACGGCCAGACAGACAATGGAGGGCCTTCGGGTATGTGCACGGGTATGTGCACGTTTAGCAGGAGAAAGTCACCCAAAGGCAGAGAAGTAGAGAAAGTTAGGTGAGACCTCGAGAGAGAGAGAGCTTAGGGGGTGGGGATGGAGGGAGAGAAGTCCAAGAACAAGGTTTCAAAGACTCAGAGAAAGGGACCACTGAGAACTAGAGAGAGAGAGAAGGAGATAGAGACCCAGACAGAGGGGAGTCAGAAACCTGGGGTGGGAGTAGGGGTGGGGGATAGGGTGAGCTAGAGACATGAGAGGGCAGGAACTGAGAGAGGTAAGAGGAGAGAGATCCAAGAAAGAGAAGAGACAGGACAGAAACCCAGAGAGAGAATGACACAGAGACCCAGAGAGAGAATGGGACAGGGACCCAGAAAGGGAAGAGATCCAGAGAAAGAGAAGGACAGGGGCCCAAAGGAAAAGGAAGACAGACTCACAAAAGAGTGGACAAATATCCAGACTTAGAAAAGTGGACAGAAAAAAAAATTTTAATTAAAAAAAAAAAGAAAGAAAAAAAAAAGGGACAGAGCAGTTCGAATCCACCAGATGCTCTGCTGGAGAAGGAGGGCCAATCTCCTCTTGTACCAATGAGATCTGATTTGACAGTTGTGTTGTTGTTAAGTGCCATCAAGTCGTAGGCGACTCATAGCGACCCTATGAACCAAAGTCCTCAACATTTGTGTGACTTTCATCCTTTCTCCAGGTTCATAGGGTTTCTGGAGGCAAGCTATTATGGAAGTGGATGCCACTCCTGCTTCCAAGCTTGTTTTAACCAGGGAGCTCCACCAAACACTGTCCGCCACGGGTAACCATTCTCGGCTTTGACACATCAGTGTCACAGTGTTCAATTTCACAGCAACCACGAGTTACCTCAGTACGGCAAGTGGACACACCAGGGCTATACGACCTTTGACTTGGTACACACAAAAGAAATAATAAAATTTTTTTTAAATCCACAGAGTGGATTTATACTCTGTGTGTGTGTGTGTGTGTACCATCAAATCGGATCTGACAGGTACAGGAGATTTCCCCTTCTCCGCACAGCATCTGGTGGATTCGAACCATTCATCTCTGAGATTGCAGTACAGCTTCTTGCCACTAGGCCACCAGAGCTCGCTTGGATTTATATTCTTTTTTCTTTTTTTTTTTTTTTTTTGAATTTATATTCTTAAAAAAGAAAAGGGGACAGAAACCCAGAAAGGGAACAACAGAGAGCAGAGAGGACTGAGAGCAGGATATGAGGTCAGAAATTCAGCAACTGGAGGTAAGGACCCTAAAAATGAAGAACATCCCCGTTCCGCTGAACCCACCCAGACCTTAACCGCAGGGAGCGTCCCAGGCCTCAGCATCGCCTCTTCTCTGCCAGGCCTGCCCTCTCCGAGGTAACATTTTCCAGACTTCCAGGCCCCCCATCTGTGCTGCAGCTCCTGCTGCCCGCCCTTGTCTGCCTTTGATTTGGTTGAAACCTTCCACCTGGGAATGGGTATGGATGGGTGGAAAGGGAAACCCCAAGAGAAATAACTTAGAGGGAGAAGAAAGAGAGGCGGAGAGAGCGTGCTGATAAATGAGAAGGAAATTCAACAAAGAGGCAGAGACAGTGAGGGAGAAATAAAGACAGAGAAAGGGATTGACTCTGGGACAAGAGAGAGGAATTGAAGCAGAGAAGCGATAAATGAGAAGGAACCAGCAATGTAGAAATAAAAACCACCCAACCCCTCTGGTGATGTGTACAGGGTGTAAATCAAAACAAGAAAACAAACCCTATGGTTCTGGGTTTAACCCACAGGATGACCATGCACGGATGGATTGGCATATTTTGTTGGTTTGTCTGTGACGTGTGTGCATATTGGCAACAGACGTAGGGCTATGAAGCAGTTATAGGGGCGTGGGGCGCACCCCTGGCTTCCATTCTCTCTCTCTTTTTTTTAAATTATTTTATTTTATTTTTATTATTTTGTGTGTGTACCATCAAATCGGATCCAACTGGCACAGGAGGAGATTGTCCCACCTTCTCCAGCAGAGCATCTGGTGGATTCGAACCGGGTGCCTCTGGGGTTGCAGTGCAGCTTCTTGCCACCAGGCCACCAGAGCTCCCTTCCCCTTCTCTTTTAAAGATCTTCTGGGGAAGGACTCCACCTCCTTGTCCCCCCCTCCCCATCCCACCGACAGCTGATCTCTTCCCACCAGTCCATTCTTTGGACAGAGAAAACTAAGGCTGCCTTCTATACAGCCTGGCCCAGGGTCCCACTGCCCACTATTCAGATTTCTGGGGCAAGGAGGTTTCTCCAGTTGGGTTTCCCCAGCCTTACTACTCAAGGTGGGTCAGTTGTTTCAGTAAAACCCTGATCTTAGGTCAGTTTGTCAGAAATGTCTGTCGTACTCAAGCTGGACAATTTTAAGTGTCATTCTTTCCCAACAAACCCTGGTAGCATAGGGCATTGCATCCCGGGGCTACTTACTGAAGGGTCAGTGGTTTGAATCCACCAGCTACTCTGCAGGAGAGAGAGAGAGGCAGTTCCCTCCCATTACGATCTGCTCTCTCAGAAACCCCACGGATGGTTGCCAACAGTTGGAACAGATTCGATGAAAGTGGGTTTGGGGATTTCTTTCCCAATGTGGAGTAAGGGTTGAGGTAGAAAAACCTGATTCTCAAGCCCCTGCCCTGGGCTGAGCTCCAACATCCTCACCCCCAGTCATCTCAACCTTATTTAAACTCTCCCTGTGATGGGTGGCTCGCCACTTTTTAAGATAGTTCCAAAGTTCAAAGCCAATACTTCCCTCCTCTGACCAAGCAAGAATTCTTAGTCAAGCCTTTCTGTGAGACCTTGTTTCAAGGGTTTCTGGCTGGTTCTGGCCTCTCCCAAGCACTTACTAACATGCCTGCCTTTTTTTCTCTCCAGGGTGGGTGGTGAAAATGTCAGTGTTCTCTGAAAATGAAGAATCAACTCTTTAGAAGTTGAAAGCCTCCCATGTCCAAATCCGTGAGTTATCTGATGAGTTATGTATTAAAGTTGATAAACAGTAAACATTCAGTAAATATTGGCCATTATTATCATCATCGTGGTCATCCTCCTCCTCGTGTTCCTCCAGCAGAACTCCTATTCATCTCTCAAAACCCCACTTGATTTCACTACCTGTTGGGACTTGGCCTCCAAATGACTGAGGTCTGCAGACTGAGGCCTCCAGTGCACTGAGGCCTTCCTCAAGGCCCTTCAGCGTCCAGATGTCTTCTTCTGTGAACTGTTCAGTTGCCAGGTCCAGCCTCAGGCCCGGCCCGTGCGGCTGAGGAGTGTACAGACGCAGGCAGTGTCGATTCGAATCCATCGCCAGCCCACGCGGCCCTGGGCATCGGCAGTCAGTGCCCGCACGTAGGACTGCTTGGCCTTGCACTCTGACATCCAGTGTCGCCGGTCCACACCACGGCAGCCCCCACCGCCCCCACCGGGGCTGCCTTCCCCAGTGCTGTCTGACTTGCATCGGGTCTCAAAGAAGTACTGGCGGAGGGGGCCGCCACCGGCTGCTGGCACCTCACCTAGCACCTCCACCTCGCGCCCACGCAGGTCCACAGCCGTCCGGCGGTCAGTCACCCAGCCGCTGACTGCATCGCACACGGCCAGCTCGCCCCGGCGACTGGCCGGTGCTGTCTCGCTCACCCCACGGCGACTGCGGTTGGCCGGAGCACCCACTGGCTCCCCAAAGGCCCCGGCCTCCAACAGGAAGAGCAGAGGGGGTCCTGAGGGGGCTCCCCGGGACAGGGCTACTCGAGGGGACAAGAGGTCCCACTCAGGGGCCAAAAACGGGGGCAGTGGTGTGGGTGGGGGGTGAGGCTGTGAAGGGATGGTAGGGAGGAGGAAGAGGAGGAGAATGGGGAAGGAGGCCGGAGGCCTGGGGGGCATCTTGCTCAGCACCTGGAGAGAGAGGGGTGCAGAGGTTAGAGAAGACTGCATCAGCCGGATATCCCAATGTGTCAGAGCCTGGGACAGCCCTCATTCTAGAACTTTTTTGGGATCCCATATACTGTGACTTGTCTAGAATTTTGGGGGTTTCCTCTACACTGTGACTTGGGAAATACCTAATTTCAAAATTTAAGACTACTTCCTGTACCAGTCAGATCTGATTTGACGGTACACGCACACAAAATAAAAAAAAATAAATAAATAAAATAAAAATTTAAGACTACTGTTTACACATCATGAGAAATTCCTTGGGTGGCAACAGTTAAGGAATTGACTACTAAGGCTGAAAGGCTCGGGGATCAAACTCGCCCAGAGGTGCCTCGGAAGAAAGGCCTGGCAATCCGCTTCCGAAAGCAAAACCTCGTGGGACATGTTTCTACTTTGCCATCATCAGGAGTCAGACCTGAGTCCACAGCAATTGGCATAGGCTCAGAGAAGTTCCTTGGCTGCCAGCAGGTCACAGAGCAAGGGACAGACCTGGGACTTGAACCCTCGCTGGGCAAATTCACTTGTCTATTCATTCATTCAGTTCCCATCACCCCCAAATCTCGCTGCTGGGAAGAGGTGAGTGGGAGTTCCATAATCTTGAGGGAGGGCAATTCTGAAATCTTGGGGATCCCCCAGTTCACCTGGAAAGGTCACTAAACAAGGTAGGACCTGAAACAAGTGGGGGGCGTGTCTACTACCACTGTCTCCCTATACAACATTCTGAAAGTTCAGGGCTCAGGAAGCGGTATCCGGGTGAGAACTGGGGAGCAGTGAGTGGTTACTCAACCTGTCAGCACCTCCTCCGACTCCGAGCTCCAGGGTTGGGGGCCCCCAGGCTCCAGGGGGCCCCTGTAGGGGACACAGGTGGCCCCCTCCTCCCTGACATTTCAGGAGAGGCAGGGGGCAACACCTAGGGAGAAGGAGGGAGGGAGAGGCTGACTGAAGAGGCGGTGGGGGCCCGGCCAGCCGAGACCCTGACACCCCTTCACGGCTTTCCTCACTTCATAAGGTACCCAGAAGTCCGCCTCTTCGCGGAGGCCCCTTCTCTGCCCAGGTAATGGCTCTGGATTGGGATGGGAAGCAGATGGGGGAGGAAGGAGGCGGACGGAGCAGGCTGGAAAAGATTACTTCCTCCGACTCGGCCCATTCATCTCCCAGACGCTGCGGGCGGCGCGGGTCTGGACAGTGGGTCCCCTGAGGGCCCCGATTCCACAAGGCCCTGGGTTCCCGAGGCGGCTTCCTGGAATGTTCTCTTCTCACGGGACAGGCTGGGGCCCGCCCAGGACTTCTCCTGCACATACCTGGAGTGGCTGCCCCGGCCCAGAGACAGGGAAGCGGGAAGGGTGGGGTCCGAAGAGGGGTGCGGTGCCCCAGCCAAGCACTGAGCCCCGGCTTCCAGGCCCCTCCTCCCAGCACCAGGGTCCAGGCCCCCAGCCCCTCCTCCCTTAGACCCTCAACCCCGAATTCCTGTCCCCATCTTCCTCCTTCTCTGGACCCAGGGGTCTGGACCCCCCAGGCCCTCCTCAACCCTGGAGTTCATGTCCCCCAGCCCCCTCCTCCCTTAGACCCGGGTGTCCACGCTCCTTGACCCCTTCTTTCCCAGACCCAGGAGTCCAGGTCCCAGTCCCCAGAGTTTGAGCCCCCCAGTTCTCTCTCTCCCAACCCTGGAGTCCGGGCTCCTCCCCCCTCCAGATCTTGGAGTCCAGACCCCAAACTCTCTCTTCCCTAGACCCAGGCGTCCAGGTCTACAGCCCTCCGCTCCCTCAAACGCGCGAGTTTGGGACCCCAGCTCCTTCTAAGGACTCAAGAGCCCGGATCCCCAGCTCCCTCCCCCCTTGAGATCTAAGAGTTCTGGGGTTCAAGTCCCTCCTCGCCAGGTACTAGGAAATGCAGACTCCCAGGTCTGGGGAGTCAAGACACCCCGAGATCCCGCGGAGCAGAGGCGCAGGAGATCAGGGACAAGTCTCTCCTGCCTCAGTTTCCTCCGCCCCGCCCCCGCCCCGCCGGCCCCGCCCCCGCCCCTCCCTACCCGGGGGCAGGGCGAACCGGCCGCCGGCTTCCCCGGGGCGGAGGTGGGAGCCTCTTACCTGGGGTGCCCTCCTCGGCTCCCCGCGGCCCCTGGCGCGCGGCTCCTCCTCCAGGCTCCGCGCTGCACACACTCCGAGGGCCCGGGGCGGGGGCGGGGCCGGAGGGGCGGGGGCGGGGCGGGCCCGCCTCCCACCCCGCAGACTCGGATCCCACCCGGCAGACCCCATCCCACCCCGCAGACCCCATCCCACCCGGCAGACGCCTCCCACCCCGCAGACTCGGATCCCACCCGGCAGACCCCATCCCACCCCGCAGACCCCATCCCACCCCGCAGATCCCATCCCACCCGGCAGACCCCAGCCCACCCCGCAGACCCCAGCCCACCCCGCAGACCCAGCCAAGGGCCCTCGCTCACTGCGGGCCTGGGACCCTGGGGCGCTCCTGCTGCCTTAAGGACCTATGAGGGAGTCCTGGCCCTCTGATCTCTTGTCCTGGTCCCCAGACCTCCTGCCCTCACATGTGAGTGTCCCAGCCCCAAGACCTCCTACCCACAGACCTGAGATTCCTGGCCCCCAGACCCCCTATCCTCACACCCAGGGGTTCTAGGCCCCAAACTCCCCACCCTCACATCCAGGGGTCCTGGGCCCCAGAACCTCTACCTTCACACCCAGGGGTCCTGGTTCCCAGACCTCCTACCCTCGCATTCAGGGGTCCTGGCCCCCAGATCCCCCACCCTCACACCCAGGGGTCCTGGCCCCCCAGACCCCCCACCCTCACACCCAGGGGTCCTGGCCCCCCAGACCCCCCACCCTCACACCCAGGGACCTGGCCCCCCAGACCCCCCACCCTCACACCCAGGGGTCCTGGCCCCCCAGACCCCCC